GGCCAAGAAGAACACAGCAGGAGTAGATCCAATGTTAGGCAAATGTAAAAGTGAACTATCTAAAAACTAGCTAAAGCTGACCTTTGGGGAAAGGTCCTGTAGAATAAAAGGCAGGACGGTCAAATTCGAAGGTAGTCGGCCCGTCGAATAATATACCTTTGCGATGGTAATACCACGATGTGGTATAGTAGTACAAGCCCATGCTCCAGCTCCGTCACATTTGGGGCCAACATCCAGCTGCTGACCGTCCAACAGGGCTACTTTGACGCCAGTGTCAAGGAGAGCCCTGGGGGTTGAGGAGGAGTTTTACATCTTTTGGCCGCATGGTAGTGTGTGGCTGTCAAGAAGGGGCACTTTGGCCGTTCTTGCTTCAGTCGCTTACGGATATTATCCGGTCATCCGGATTATCCGGTGTTCTGCTGCTGTAGAAGCCGTTCTGCTCAATCATAGGTCAACTAAGCAGTCCGTTAATCATCACTTTTGGTTTTGCTCTCGACCACACAAGCCTCCTCTTCACCCCTCCTCAGCGCAACCCCTTTCCTCGTCCCTCTTGACAATACTAATTAATATTAGGACGTTAACATTGCCGGTAACTTAACTACGGTACACTGTTGTCCGTAACTTGTGTAGGCTGCATGCACTATTGGTGAAACGTCATTTCGACGGGTCCAACGCAAGAATAGTGTAGCCTTCAGGTAGTACAATATATAGGATAAAATGAACAGAGTAACCTCAAATCCACCACCTCTGCGTCGGCCGTTTGATTGGCTGTTCTGCAGCGTGCAGAGCAATTGGGTCGCGCGTTAGTTTGACCCATTGCTAACACACACACTCTGTGTGTGTGCCGTGTCAAAGGTTCCGATACCTTAGTGGAGGTACTGAGTACTTTAGTGAATGGTAGTCAGTAGGCGCCTCGCAGCGTGTTTAACCTCACTAATGTCAGTGTGTATATTTGCTGCCTTGACGAAGGTCCCGTGGCCGAAAGCCAAGAAGAAGCGGGAGACAAAACAAAGATATCTTTAGTTCATTGTTGAGCTATTCACTGGAGATGGTACGAGAACATTCCTCCGACGAGGAAACACCAACGAACGCCGAAGAACGATCGCGGTCGCGTGACCAGATCGAGGAGCCGCGAGGACGCGCTGCTCGGCGCACCGTTGAGAACCCGTTCAGATCTCCCCGACGACATCCACCTGCTGTCGACGAGTGGCAACCGCCACGTGGTGGGTTTTACACCCCCGCCACAACCCGATGAACACCAGCTGTTGCAGCGTTTGTCTCAGCTGCTGCTCCACAAACGACTGAAGGAGATGGCGCTTCAGTGCCGTTGCCAGCCGACAACGACCCGTCGGACGTCCGTGACGATACGGACATGGGCAGCGATGGCGGTTACGGCCGTACGGCGCCGCAAGTTTGGAACGCGCCGGCGCTCCCGCAGCCGCCGACATTTTCGGTCTCGACTAAGGCCGAAAGACAAGCTTTTTTGCGCGAGTACCAGAAGTATCTGGGGTAGATCAACGCTCTGCAGTACAATGGATCGCGTCCGTTCGCGATGCCCGTGAGTGCAAGCATGGACCCGTTCTCGAAGCCCCGGATCGCGCTGTTCGACTTCAATTGCGACAACCATTCCATCACGAACGATGAGTGGGTCGCGTGGTTCAAGTCAGCATTTGAGGAATACCCTCAAGACCTGGACGTTTTGAAGCAACGTTTGCAGCAATCGATTCGCTTCGATACGAAGATCTTGGACGCGGAGTCCCGCGTCGGTCATATGTTGGACGAGCTGATTCGCTCGTTGGAACAAGACCATCAGGAGTGGGTACTCCATCAAGAAGGCAAGATGGTCGTCGATGTCATGACGAAATCGATCAAGCCGGAATCGCTGAAGACAGCGGTTCAAAAGCAGCTGCAGTTGCAGCGGAACAAGGTGTTGAAGAGCGATGTCTTTCGTTACGTCAACTGGCTGCGACATTTGCAGCTGGCCACCAGCTATACGTGGGACTAGACGACGAGTCCAAATCTTCCCCGGCAGCGAAGCCGGTAGAAGTTGCGGGAAGACGCCGCCAAGAACAATGGCAGAGTCGGCGGAAAGGCCGAAACGATTGCGCCCAAGAATGCCGAGCCCCCGGCTAGGAAGGGCTGCTTGAAGTGCGGTGGCATGAGTCACCGTGTGGCGCGGTGCCCGAAGACCGCGCCTGGCGAAGCCGAAACGTTGTTGGCAGCGCAAGTCAAGCGCTGGAAGGACAGCATCAAGGTGCTGGTCAACTAGCCGCAGCGCCAGAAGACAAAGCGCGGCGTGCTGTTGGAGAATATCGTCCGCGTGGACAATGTGCTCTTGGACTCTGGTTCGGACGTGACCGTTGTCACGCGCGGCGTCATGGATGCGTTGGACGCAGCCGGTGTCAAAGTTGGGACCGTCTCCCATAGCGTGCCGCATTTGGCGTACCCGTATGGCAGTGACGCCAAACCAGTTGTGATGACGCGCAGCGTCAAGTTCAACTGAGTGACGCTGGACAAGACATGTGGACCGCTTGTGTTGCGCGGTCTGAAGGCCTGGGTCGACGACACGTCGACTGCCACCGAACTCATATTGAGTCGCCCAGTCATGGAGTTACTGGGTTTCAGCGTTGAAGACCTCCTTGTGGGAGAAAAGGAAGAAGAAGGAAGAATGGGACGTTTCGTTCGTGCCGACGAATGAACTGTCCGGCATGGGGAATGTCAAGCGTCTGATGGCGGAGAAGCTGAATCCGCCGGAGCTCGACCCCGACGACGGGATGGAGTGTGCTACTCCGGAGGTTTATCCCAAAACCTCCGCCGAGGACGAAGCGGAGCGCCGCCGCACGAAGCAGGGCGCCGTTCAAGCCATTCTGACGGCCAAGACAGCCGAGGCGGAGACGCGCGGGCTTGCGCCCGCTGAAGCGACGCGGCTGCATGACTTATTGGCCAAACACATTGATGTGTTCCGTGAAGACTTGGGCGATGATCCGCCAGTCAAGGTCGAGCCGTTGAAGGTTCGGATCAAACCCGGCTCGACGCCGGTGAAGTGTGGGATGCGGCGGTACCCGCCGCTGCATGTGGAGTACATGCGCAGCCATGTGGCTGCCCTAGAAGCGAAAGGTATGGTATACGAAAACAACCGGGTTACGTGGGCCGCAGCCCCAAGGATCATGCCGAAGAAGGAAGTCGGCGACTTGCGCATGACGATCGAAAGCAGGCCGATCAACGCCTGCACGGAGCCGATGCCTTGGCCGATGCCAAACCTGGACAGCGCGATGGTCTGTCTGGTCGGAACGAACGTGTACTTCACGTTGGACTGGACCAAGGGGTCCTGGCAGTTGCCCCTGCATGCGGACAGCCAGATGTACTTCTCGTTCATGACGCCCTTCGGCGTGTACACCCCTGTACACCCCGACTCGCGTGCTCATGGGACAGACGGACGCTGTCGCGTACTGCCAGTCGGTTGTCCATCAAATGTTTGTTGAGCTGCTGTTTCGAGGCCTGTTGGCCTGGCTCGATGACTTGCTGGGGTCCGCCAAGACGACGGACGAGCTGCTCGACTTGTTGGACCAAGTCCTGTCCATCTGTGCCCAGTTTGGACCCAAGTTGAGCCCGAAGAAGTGTCATTTCTTTCTGCGCGAGGCACAATGGTGTGGCAAGGTGATTTCGGCCGATGGAATCATCCATTCCCCAAGCCGAATTCAAGGACTCGTGGATATATCGCCGCCGACGACCGCGGCCGACCTCCAGCAGGTTGTGTGTGCCACCAACTGGATGCGGGCGAGCATCCCCGGCTACAACCAGCTGGTGGATCCGTTGCGATGTCTGCTCGACGTGGCCACCAAGGCAGCCGGAAGCTGCAAGAATACAGCGTTAGTGCGTGTTGCACTCCCTGCCGTGGGATGGTCGTCCGACCATCTCAGGTGTTTCAACGATGTGAAACACGCGTTGGCACATGTGGTGCCCCTGTCGCATCCGCGAGAAGACATGACGGTCTGCGTCTTCACGGACGCCAGTGACCTGTTTTGGGGTGCGGTCGCCACAAAAGTACCGCTAGCGGACCTCGACTTGCCTCTCGAAGCCCAGCGGAACCAGCCGCTTGCGTTCATCAGTTGGTCATTTTCTGGCGCGAGTGCGCGCTGGCCCATTGTCGAGAAGGAGGCCTATGCCGTGGTCGAGTCGTGCAAGAGACTCGACTACCTGGTCGTACGCCCGGGTGGTTTCCGTCTGTTTACGGATCACCGCAACATGGTGTACATCTTCAACCCAAGTGGCTCGAACGCCAACATGGCCAAGTACCAGGCCGACAAGCTGCAGCGATGGTCGCTGGTGATGTCGACCTTCCCGTACACCATTGAGTGCGTCTTGGGTGACGCAAATGTATGGGGCGACCTCCTGAGCCGATGGGGTTCGGCTTCGACGGATCAACCAGTTGCGAATGTTCGCAAGTTGATCCATGTGGTGTCACCCCTGCAACAAGTGGATTTCGAGTGGCCGACAGCCGCTACGATCAGCGACATCCAACGTTCAACCATGGAAGGGGGAGGGACCCCCCCAAATGGCGTGGATTGGGACGACGACTCCCATTTTTACGTGGACCCAGATGGACGAATCTGGATCCCTGACGGTGCTGTTGGCCTACAGCAGCGGATTTGTGTGATCGCTCACCATCAGCTCCTGATACTCTTGTATGTATATGTGCGTCTATATATGGGTATAAGGATTTAATCAGTAAAGAGCGTATTTCCTGAGTCTGCTCCCCCTGACGAATTATTCGAGAAACCGGTTTTGACGCCTACTGATGGTCTTAACGTTAGATCAAAGCATCACCCACCTCTATCTGGCAGAACCGACTTCGAACGAGTAATTTGTACTCATCTTTGAAGCCCAAAAAGAGGACATTGCACACACAGCTGGTCATCATCACACCCACTTGGCGCCAGCGCCTTGCAGAACGACAGCTGATTGATCACGGACACAAACAGCGGCCAAAAGATGCAAAACTACTCCTCCAACCCCAGGGACCACGGGTGCAGCGGATTCTCCTTGACACTGGCATCAAAGTAGCCCTGTTGGACGGTCAGCAGCTGGATGTTGCCCACAAAGGGCGTCCCGTCCACGAGGGTGAAGGACTGGACCGCCTTGTCCAGCAGCCACACGCAGCCCACGACCAGCAGCGCTGGAAAGATGCGGTGCGAGTAAAAGTAGGCGTACTGGACCGCCTTGTCCAGCAGCCACACGCAGCCCACGACCAGCGTAAGCGTGAACACGAGCAGCAGCGCTGGGAAGATGCGGTGCTAGTAAAAGTAGGCGTACGTCAACGAGCTTCTGCGTTTTTCCTTGAAGGGGATGCCCGAGATAAGGTAGCCAGAGATGACGAAGAACACGTCGACGCCTGTAAACCCGCCTTCGACCGAGTGCCGGTACGCGTGGAACAGGACCACGGAAACCACCGCGAGCGTCCGTAGCCTGTCGATGTCGGGCCGGTACTTGATCGGGTGCTGGGGTTCCGGAGATGTTACTTCTTCGGCTAGCAAACTTGGTCGTGACTGCTCCGTTGGAGGTGTCGTCGGTAGTCGGCTTAGAGCATCCCCACCGGTGCGACTGTAAACGCTATTTTACAG